AGGGAGCCCGATGCGGGGCTCGATCCCAGGACCCTGGGATCATGACCTGAGCCGAAGGCAGACGCTTAATGACTGAGCCACCCAGGCGCCCCTCCACCATAGATAATTTTATCCTTCCAGATTTTTCTGTGCACATACTGCTTTGTGTATGTGTGTGTGTATTATATAATTTCAAAGACAAAAATGGGGTCACAATGAAAATCACTGTGGTGTGTGCTCTTATTAATCTTAAAACTCTGCTGTGGTATCTTTCCCTAACAGTACATCTAGATTTATGTCATGATTCATTTAATTGAATTTGATTATTATGGTGATTGTTATTTCAGATGCCAGGTATACAGAATTGAGGCAGTGTAATCATTGACCCATATATAGTCCTCTTTTACTGATTTATTCATTTATTTGTTAATAATATGCCGAGCATCTCGTTCCTTATAGACACACGTTTCTTCGAGCTGCCCCCATGATAAGATGACATAACATAAAGATTCTTTCCTCGGTGGGTAGGTTGCATGCCCAATCTCCTCACTCAGTCTGCCCAAACTCACTTTCATTACAGCCTCTGTTCAGGGTCTGGACGTAAAGGTGGGGAGGTTTTTTTGTTTTTGTTTTTTTCATGGCAATTTTTTTTTTTAACTGGCATCCTCTCTGTATGAAGAATTCAAAGTGGTCTCAAGTTTCCTCAGAATAAATGGAGACCTTGGCTTCCTCTTGTGGATTTAGAAAGCAGGCAAGCACTATTAATCCAATAGCAGTAACCAGAAATGGAAAAACGTTCAGTTTATTTGGGTTCGGAGGTTCTGAATTTATCTGGTCCCTGAGAAGAAGGTTGAATAAGCAAAGAGTGGTATAAATGAGATAATAGGATAATTTTAATAGTGATCTCATTTAAATAATATCTGTTGTTAGCTTATAATTAACTATTTAAATAACAGGAGGGATAACTTAAATAATGTTCTCTAGAATTTTTCTTTTTTTTAGAAAGAGGGGCAGAGGGAGAGGGAGAGAGAGGATCTTAAGCAGGATCCATGCCCAGCGGCACAACCCTGAGATTTTTACCTGAGCCGAAATCGGGAGTCCCGAATGTGGGACATGGGAGGGGAGTCAATCTCACAACCCTGAGATTTTTACCTGAGCCGAAATCGGGAGTCAGATGCTTAACCTGAGCCACCCAGGCACCCCTCTAGAATTTTTTTTAAACCACTTCAGCAGTACCTGTATTCAAATGCATTGTATTAATTCCATTTTCCCTCAATTCCTTCAATTATTTCTTTGAAAATATGCTTGTACTTGGAACCTTTCAAACATTTGCAAGGGAACTTAGGACTTTATTCCAAACTGGTGAGGCTCTACTTTGTTGATTGTGGGGAATCTTTTGAAGGAGAGAGTTGATGATTTGGGTACTAAACTCAGTGATGTTTTCACAGACTCATTGGAATGCAGTTTATCACAAGCCTTGGCTTACAAGAGTTTGACATTGCCAGGAACGTCCTGGAACTGATCTATGCACAAACTCTGGTGTGGTAAGTTTTGAAAATCTTCAGACTGACTCAGAAATATTTTGTAAGTGGGGATATTGTGGGTATTGTTACCTTTATGAGCACTTTTAAAAAAAACTGTGGTAGGAAAATGCATCATATAATAATCATCTGAACCTTTTCTAAATGTACAGTTGAGTCGTGTCTATTCACATAGCTGTGCAACAGATCTCCAGAACTCTTTTCATCTTGCAAAGCGGAAACTCCCTACCCATCAAGCAAGAACTCCCCAGTTCCCCCTTCCCCAGCCCCTGGCAACCAGCACTCTATTTTCTGTCTCTATGAGTTTGACTACTCTAGATACATTATGTCAGTGGAATCATACGGAATTTATCTTTTTGTGCCTGGCTTATTTCACTTAGCATAATGTTCTTCGGGTTCTACATATTGTAGCATACATCAGTACTTTTTTCCTTTGTAAGAGTGAATAATATCCCATTGTATGGATATACCACATTTTGTTTATCCATTCATCCATGGAGGGACCTTTGGGTTGCTTCTACCTCTTGGTTACTGTGAATAATGCTGCTATGATTATGGGTATGCAAATGTCTCTTTGAGACCCTGCTTTCAATTCAATCTTATGGCACATATGAACACTCTTAGATTATTTAATTAAATGATGTTCATAGATCAGCTGATGTGATAATAACAATATATTTCCATTTATCGAGTGCTTACTTTGGCCGGGTTTTTGAACCCTAGACACCAAGTGCTCATACTACTGATCACTTGCTGAAGGTTCCAAAGGGAAATGTTAGCCATGGGTGGGGGGAAAAGTTCCAATCAGAGGTGGCCATTATTACTTCTGGGCCTTTATGGTTTGCGTTAATAAACTGTAAATAAGCACAACTGAAAACCCACGTATCCTTTCCTTTCTCCACGGCAATTATAGATTTAACCTCTGTGCTTTTTAGGAGAAGATTGCCTTTGCTCATGAGCTTGAAAAGAAGATAAGGGAAAGGTGCCTGGGTGGCTCAGTCGGTGGAGCATCCAGCTTTTGGTTTCAGCCCAGGTCATGGTCTCGGGGTCGTGAGATCAAGCCCTCGTCGGCTCCATGCTGGGTGTGGAGCCTGCTTGGCATTCTGTCTCTGCCCCTCCCTTGCTCACTCTCTCTTTCTTTCTCTCTCTATAACAAAAAAGAAGACAACAGAAAGGGAGTGTATGTTAGGGACGATGGTAGAGATGAGGTGAGGTAAGTGTCTTTTGCACACCAGCTTGTCTATTTTTTGGCATGTCTACATATCACCTGTACTGGTTTTATTTTATTTTATTTATTTTTTAAAGATTTTATTTATTCATTTGACAGAGAGAGAGAGGGAACACAAGCAGGGGGAGTGGGAGAGGGAGAAGCAGGCTTCCCGCTGAGCAGGGAGCCCGATGTGGGGCTCGATCCCAGGACCCTGGGACCACGACCTGAGCCAAAGGCAAACGTTTAACCGACTGAGCGACCCAGATGCCCCTAAATACATTGTTAAAGGAGTCTTTATTTTACAACCATAAATGGAAAACCTGTGTCATTTGAGAGAAACTTCAAGTAACTTGAAAAGTAAATCCAACCAGGGCACCTGTCTGGCTCAGTTGGTAGAGCATCTGACTCTTGATCTCAGTGTCGTAGGTTCGAGCCCCATCTCCGGCATAGAGATCACTTAAAGAAAAATGTCAGTCACTTTAAAAAATAAAATAAAACCAAGCCTATCACAAATAGTCAAATTCTAGCTGGGTGCTCCTGTCTGCCAAGGTTCTCAGTTTAAAGCTTGTCCCCACCCTTTCTTTTAGGAAAAAAAGGGAGGTTGGCAAGTGTTAGACCCACCAAAGTGAGATTTTCTTCTCTTGGAAATCTCTACTCAGGAGTGTTAGGGAGAATTGAGGGGAACGTCCTTCTCATGTGTAACCCAGTGTCCCTGCAGGACCTCAGACCTTCTTTGCTGCCATGGAGGGAGGAGAGGGACATGTCCCACATTCGGGACACCTAGGTTAGGGCTTGCTGAAGGCCATTTGGTGGTATGTGGGTGGTACTTTCTGCAAAATCTCTTTTCCAAAGCTGGGAAGAGAGCAGCTGAGGATCTTGGGTATGGTGGGGATTTTCCTGGTTTGCAGGGGGACAGAGCACTCTCCCTCTGTATTTGTTTGTTAGGGTTGCCATAACAATGTACCACAGACGGGGTGGCTTAACAACATTTCCTCACGATTCTGGACGCCAGAAGTCCAAGATCAAGGTGTTCAAGGGTTGGTTTCTTCTGAGACCTCTGTGCTTGGCCTGTAGATGGCACCTTCTCCCAGTGTCCTCACATGGTTCCTCTGTGTGTATCTGTGTCCTAATCTCTTCTTTGAAGGACACTAGTCAGATTGCATTAAGGCCCACCCTAGTGATCTCACTGTACCTTAATTAACTCTTTAAAGGCCTTATCTCCAAATATAATCACATTCTGAGGTATTAGGGGTTAGGACTCCAGCGTATGCATTTTGGAGAAACACGGTTCACCCCTTAACACCCTCTTTCCCTTCCCTGCACACCCTGTATCTGCCCCCGCTCCCCACTCTGCGTGTCTCCCCCTGACCTCTGACACTCTTTCTCCCTCATAGGATTGGAACCTTCTTCTGCCCTCTGCTGCCCTTTATCCAAATGATTACTCTTTTCATCATGTTTTACGTCAAAAATGTGAGTCAGTCTGAAGTTGGAATCGATTAGCCTCTCTCAGTCCCATGTGACCCCGTGGTGGTTGGAATTGCGTTGGGGGTGGCGGGGGGTGGTGCCGGGAAGGGGGTCAGGAAGCTGGTGCCTGGCTGGGGTCCCTGCTTCTCTGACCACAGATGGGAGGTGGCCGTTTCTCTCTCTTCAGATCAGCCTGATGATGAATTTCCAGCCTCCCAGCAAAGCCTGGCGAGCCTCACAGATGATGACATTCTTCATCTTCTTGCTCTTTTTCCCATCCTTCACCGGGGTCTTGTGCACCCTAGCCATCACCATTTGGAGGTAGGAGATAGTGGCCTTGTGGTGAGGTCTTAGAGATGGGGTGGGTGAGTGTTTTAACATGTCAGCTTTATTATTATTAAGGTATGGTGAGGCCAGCAGATCAGAAGGCGAATGCTGTTGAAAGATGATCTGTTGTTCTCAGACCCCAGTAGAAGTGGTGGTGGCGGATGGGAATACCACGCCACGGAGGGCCACATGAGGAAGCCCCAGGGTTGGTCAGGACGCAGAGGGAGTGAGGAGAAAATGTGAGCAAGAGCCTTTATTGTGGTTTCGGTGGGAAGGAAAGAGCAAGGCGGGGTAGGCAGGTTTAGGATTGGCTAATTGGAACAATTTCAGTGGGTTTTGAGGTAAAGGGGCTGACTGGAGTTGTCTGGTACCTGGCTCTGGGGTGATCAGGGCAGGGGGATAGTGACCCTGAGTGTGAGAGCCTGATAGAGTAGGTGGAGGGTGGGATATGGACTCTGGATCAAGGGCTATCTCTCCAGGGTCAATAAGACCCCAGATGTCAAAACATCAGAGTGAGAAGACAACGCTTAGTACATTGTTTAACCCAAGTTCCCTTGGAAATCAGCAGACAAAACAACCAAGGGAGGGAGTAGCTCTTGGTTCGGTCACCACCCATCAGGCGACCTGGCACAGCTTCCTCACTTCCTGGAAGGACTGCAACTTCCCAGAATGGGGACAGAACTTGAGCGAAATGAACGGAAATGCCCTGCTTGAGCTGGTTCCCTCCTAGCTCTCCAACCTCAGCCCACTTTGGCTCCACCTTCCTTCATCCTCATGGCTCTTGCTTCACACCTGGGACCCTGTGAGTCTCTCCTGACACAGGGTGGAGTCCTCTGAAGTGTTCTCCCGACTCCCTTTGCTTGGTGGCCTTCTGCCCGCCCTCTGGTTCTTGGCTCAGAAGTGACCCTGCTTATCTATGTCAGTTCCACCTCTTGTCTCTTCATTCCATAGCTCATGGTCAGAGATGCCTTCATTTGGATCTTTGTTTAATCATTACTCATTAGTTGTTCATCTTTCTTTTTTTTCACAGTTTATTTTTTTAAAGATTTTATTTATTTATTTGACACAGACACAGCGAGAGAAGGAACACAAGCGGGGGAGTGGGAGAGGGAGAAGCAGGCTCTCCGCTGAGCAGGGAGCCCGATGCGGGGCTCGATCCCAGGACCCTGGGATCATGACCTGAGCTGAAGGCAGACTGCTTAACCGACTGAGCCACCCAGGTGTCCCTAGTTGTCCATCTTTCTTACTAAAATGTAAATCTGAGAGGGCAGAGTCCATGTCTGTCTTGTTTACTATGGAATCCCCAAGGCTTAGTATCTAGCACAGCACCTCGTACAGGTGCAGTAAACTTTTATAGAATGAATGAATGAATGAATGAACGAACGAAGGAGTTGACTTTTAGGTTGTAAGCAGAACTGGAACCATCAGGAACTCAAGTGGCTTCAGGGGAGGCTCCTCTGTTTTACGATGTCTTTGTATCTCTCTTTTCTCTCTCTTCCTAACCAGTTCCTAGTTTCCCTCTAGTTTCTGCTAGTTCATAACAACTGACTACACGTGGCCACCATTGCCACAACTTCAGCCTCCACAGATCACAGGGTCCCCCCTTCATATTTCTTAGTTCAAGAATCTGATCACCCAGTTCATTTCTTCAAGCCAGGATATCGCAGAGTTCAACGTCTGCTCTTTGGATTGGCGATCAGTAGATCCAGTGAGAAGCTGTCTGGGCGCAGGTCCTCAGAGCGTAGGTCACAAGTATAAAACATCCCAGCTGAGGCTGTGAGGGAGAGGGTTTCCTCGGGAAGGAGGGTATATGTACAGCAGACAAGAATTGCTGGTTCTAGGTCCAGAGCCCAGAAAGGACAGTTTGATTCTAGAAAAAGCTATACCTGAGTCTTGTGCTAGAGAGGTTTTTCTGTCCCTTGTTTTTTTTTTTTTTTTTAAAGATTTTTATTTATTTATTTATTTAAAAGAGAGAGAGAGAGCGCATGGGAGGGGGGAGGGTCAGAGGGAGAAGCAGACCCCCTGCTGAGCAGGGAGCCCGATGTGGGACTCGATCCCGGGACTCCAGGATCATGACCTGAGCCGAAGGCAGTCGCTTAACCAACTGAGCCACCCAGGCGCCCCTCTGTCCCTTGTTTTACCAGATTGAAACCTTCAGCTGACTGTGGCCCCTTCCGAGGTCTGCCCTTCTTCATTTACTCCATCTACGGCTGGATCGACACCTTGAGTAAAAGGCCCAGCTACCTGTGGGTTGTTTGGATCTACCGGAACCTCATCGGAAGCGTGCATTTCTTTTTCATCCTCACCCTCATTGTGTTGTAAGGGGAGCACCTCGGGAACCCGGAGGGGGAAACATACCATTAACTCTGCTGGTGGATAGTCTGGGCGAGGTTTGCCAGGAAGGCAAAGGGCTACAGTGTTAGCTCAGTGTTCTGGATGCCCCTGACTTTGCCCTTGTCCTAGGTTTTTTGTTTTTGTTTTCTGTGTTGTTTTTTTTTTTTTTACCTGTTTTATGAAGAAAGCAATACCTTCTGTGCCCCCTTTTAAGAAATAACATGAAAACAAAATGAAAATTTTGATTTGAGACTGCTTAGGAAAATTTTAGGTGTGATTCTTTCTGAGATTGTGATTACGTTCAAATGGGTTGGGCAGTGTTGGTACATAGGATAGCGTTCTTCCATTTCCAAATAAAAACGATCAATTTCTGACTTCTTTTTTTTTTTAAAGATTTTATTTATTTCTTTGACAGAGAGAGACATAGCGAGAGAGGGAACACAAGCAGGGGGAGTGGGAGAGAGAGAAGCAGGCTTCCCGCCGAGTAGGGACCCTGGGATCATGACCTGCGCCGAAGGCAGAGGCTTAATGACTGAGCCAGTTTCTGACTTCTTATGAAAAACCAGATCTGCCAAGACCAGGTTCATCTTCCTGCATGAACAGTTGGTTGGCTAATAGCTGTCCCTCTTTAGAAGCCTAGCCCTGATAGCACTGGAAATTGCAACTCCTCAGAGAGAGAGACACAACTCAAAAGCACAGACTAGTGGAACCAGTGGATGTTGCTTATAGAGCAGCCTTTCAGGTTTGCAGGTGGAAGTGATGAGACAGAGATGGACTGACTTGCAGAGATAGGCTGCAGGCTGCACAGCCTGTGAGTGACACAGGGGCTAGAACCTGGGTGTCCTCGCTCCCAGTCATGCCCTCCCTTCCCTACACTAGGTTGCCACTAGCCTCTTTAAAATGCTGAGCTTTCCTAGGGCCTTGTTGCATCACACTTCTGATTCACTGGGGAGCTTGTTAGAGATCCAGAATCTTGGGCCCTACCCCAGATCTACAGAACCCCAGAATCTGCATTTTGACAAACTCCCAGGAAATTTGTATCACGTTGAAGTTTGAATAGCACTGGGCAGACTCACAAACTCTGGCTGCACATGAGAATCATGTGTAATCTGTAAAAATACTATTTTCTGGCCCTCTGCCAGACAACTGATTATGAGAATAATTGATCTGAGAAGAGGTCATGGAATGAATCTTTTTTCCATCTCTCATGATTCCATGTGCAGCCAGGTTGAGAACTGTTGCTCTTTTTTTTTTTAATTATTATTTTTATTTACTTGAGAAAGAGCACAAGTGGGGTGGGGAGTCAGAGGGAGAAGGGAAAGCTGACTCCCCACTGAGCAGGGAGCCCGATGTGGGGCTCGATCCCAGGACCCTGAGATCATGACCCGAGCCGAAGGCAGACGCTTAATGACTGAGCCACCCAGGTGCCCCTAGAACCATTGCTGTGGTGTATTTAACCTGTAACTCATCCAGACACAACTTTTTGGGAACACTGTGGGGCCAAAATCCACTTGCAAGCAAATATCTCGGTTTCTTTACACTCTTTTGGAATTTGGGGCCTGCAAGACATTGGCAAAAGTGTCTGTCATTCTTTCTTTTCTTCTTTTCTAGAATCATCACCTACCTTTACTGGCAGATCACAGAGGGAAGAAAGATTATGATCAGACTGCTCCATGAACAGATTATTAATGTAAGTTCCATTAGTCCCTCTGTTATCCTCCTCCCACCATTTTTAAAAAACATTTTATAATGGGAACTTCCAGACATATTCCAAAATAGAATAGTATGATGAACCCACACCTGCCCACCACCCAGTGCCAACTACCATCAACATGTATGTACTCTTTTTTTTTTTCCAAGATTATTTGTTTATTTATTTGAGAGAGACAGAGTGAGCATGAGTGGGGGTGGGGCAGAGGGAGAGAGAGAAGCAGACTCCTCGCTGAGCAGGGAGCTCAACTTGGGGCTCGATCCCAGGACCCCGAGATCATGACCTGAACTGAAGGCAGATACTTAACTGACTGAGCCACCCAGACGTGCCTGTATCCTCTTATCTACACTAACCGTTCACTGCAAATCTCTGGATTATTTTAAAGCAAATCCTAGACTTACATCATTTTATCTGTAAAAACTTCTATACACCTAAGAGATACAAACTTTTAAAAAACATAACCACAATACCATCATTGCACCTAAAAGAAATAATTCCTGGGGCGCCTAGAAGACCTACTGATTTCGTTAGAGATGACAAAATAGTGGTACTCTACTCCTAGAGATTCTTCTGCATTGATTGGCTAGAATTCTTCCATGAAAAAAGGAAATTTTGCTCGCCAACTATTTGATTACCTTGTAATACAATTTATACAGGAAAGGCAACATAGATGCATGATTTTTCCCCCTTTATTTACCAGTTTTTGAAAGGATGGGTTGGTATCCTAGTGTCTTAGTTTTCTAGGGCCTGCCATAGCAAATAACCACAAACTTGGTGGCTTGAAATAACGGAAATTTATTCTCTCACAGTTCTGGATGCCAGAAGTCCAAAATCAAGGTGTCAGCAGGGTTGGTACCTTCTGAAGCTCTGAGAGAGAATCTCCTCCATGCTTCTCCTAGCTTCTTTTGGGGGCCACTGGCTCACCTCGGCTCAGGGCTTCCTAGCTGCTGTTTCTGCCTCCATCTTCGCAAGTTCTTTTTCCCTGTGTGCCTGTTTCTCCTTCTCTTCTAAGGACTTGTCCTTGAATTTAGGGTTCATCCTCATCCAGAAGGATCTCATCCCAGAATCTTTAATTATGTCTGCAAAGACCTCATTTCCAAACAAGGCCATATTCACAGGCACTGGGGTTAGGATAACTTGGACATATCTTTTTAAAAGGGAGATATTAAAAAAAATAAAAAATAAATAAAAGGGAGATACTGTTAGACCTACTACACCTAGCAACCTCCAAATGTGGCCAGTGAGGATTTTAAAATTGTCCTTATGAATTCATAGATTTAAGTATACTTGGACATCTTTCAATTATAATAATTTGTTTGTGCATAAATAGTCTCATCCTTTGTTAATGGAAGTCCTTTTGGATTAGCTCTCGGGCTCCTTTGACATGATCCCAGAAGTCTTTTTTATTTTTTTAAGGATTTTATTTATGGGGCACCTGGGTGGCTCAGTCCTTAAGCGTCTGCCTTCGGCTCGGGTCATGATCCCAGGGTCCTGGGATCGAGCCCCGCATCGGGCTCCCTGCTTAGTGGGGAGCCTGCTTCTCCCTCTCCCACTCCCCCTGCTTGTGTTCCCTCTTCCGCTGTGTCTCTCTCTATCAAATAGATAAAAAATAAGGTCTTTAAAAAAAAGAAGCTTTAAAAAAAAATAAAATAAAGATTTTATTTATTTGACAGAGAGAGAGAGCACAAGCAGGGGGAGCTGCAGAGGGAGAGGGAGAAGCAGGCTCCCCACTGAGCAGGGAGCCCCACGTGGGCCTCGATCCCAGGACCCCGGGATCATGACCCAAGCCGAAGGCATCCACTACCAACTGAGCCACCCAGGGACCCCTTATGACTCCAGAAGTCTTTGATAGCTTGCTTGCTACCTGGAAGGACAAGATGTTCCTGGCCCTTCTTGTTTATTACCTGTCCCAGAACATGAATCAGACATTTATTCAAGGAGTCCTGGTGAAATGGTATTTAGAGACCACAGTCTGCTCATTGCTACTGGGCTGGTTCCCTTCTAAATACCAACATAATTATGACATGAACACTTACATCTTAGAACATGAGAAAGAAGCAGGATTCCCCAGGGTTCTCTCTGCTTGAATCTTTGGGGTTTCAGATCACGTGGGTTGGTCCTTTATATGGTGTAAAGAAAGGGCATGGATTAATTATGTTCTTTCTCCTGCCTGTTCTTGCAAGTATGGCCTGTATTTTTCTGATGCAGCACTTTGAATATTTTGGGCAAGTCTTAAGAAGATCTAAACAGGGGAGGGTTTTGATTTGAAAACCTTCTCTTGTAAGGGCACTGCCAAGTAAACTGGGGAGGAATTTAGATGGCATCATTTCAGCGAGGCACCAGAAGCATCTCCAGGCCTGTGTGCTTGCAATTCTTGCCCAGAGGATGGACCACAAAGACAGGCCCATTGCTAAGAGGCTAGGAATAGGCTCAGTAACAATCCTTCTCAAAGTATGATCACCTACATTGGAAACTCTTGGATGCTTATTAAAAATGCAAATTCCTATTACCCTGCTCTCCAGCCAGTAATGGCAACAGATGACATTTGTTGAGCACTTACATGATGCCTGGTATGTGCTAAATAATGAACAAAATTTCTCATTTAACTTTTATTACTCTCTCTGGGGTGTATACATCTTTAATCCCTATTTTAAAATGAAGGAAACTGAGGCTTACAGAGTGAAGTGACCTGCCCCAAGTCACAGGGCTAGTAAGTGGTGGAATTTGAACTGGGCAAGTCCAAAGTTTGTACTCTTAACTACCATGCAGCTTTGCCTCCCTGAGTCAAGATCTTTTGGATAAATCCTAGGAGTCCGAATTTTTGCAAGCTCTCCAGGTAATTCTAATTGGCACTAGAGTATGGAAACAGAGGCTAGACACCAGCAATTTTCAAACAAGTTGGTTATATCCAAGACAGCTAGCAGACTCGTTTAAAATGCCAATTCCCAAGGATAGCTCTTCCTTGCAGAATTCTAGTGAATAAATGTAGAAGGAATAAGGGAAATAGAAAATTATTATGAAGCATATACCACAGCAATAATTGTTGGATGCTCAATAATTGTTGGGTGAAAGTTTGAGGAGAAACAAGGGCATGGGAAATGGGATTGATCTAGACTGGCCAGACCATCAGTGGTGCTTGCTAGCCCACTTCAATACTGGTGGAATATTCCACCCTCCCATCTGCAGCAGATTCACAGGTAAGTGATTCATGCTTCTGGGGAAGACATACCCCCTTCCTCAGTTTCCCTTCCCAATTTGAGAATTCTTTATCTGGGTCTACTCCATTGACACTGATAACTTTGACAAGTGCAATATGTTTGATGTCCCTAGATGCAGAGCTGTAAGCTTTGACATGCTCAGTGAGAGGACACGGCAACAATGCTGGGTGCCCAGACAGGGTTCTGAGACAGAGGGCATGCCAAGAAGGGGGCTACTATACACCATTTGTCCTGGGCCTGGGCTCAGGTCATGATCTCAGGGTCATGAGATCGAGCCCTACATCGAGCTCTGTGCTCACTGTGGAGTCTACTTAAGACTCTCTCTCCCTCTGCCCTTCCCCCACTGCCCTCAAATAAATAAAAAAATCTTAAAAAAAAGAGAAAACACAGTGGCAGTCTCTATCCTGTGTCTGGGACCCTACCTGCCTAAAAAAAATCAACCTTCTTTCCATCATTTGCTTCTTGATCTCACACCATCTTCCATGTTTTTGTTCTCCTTCTTGGCAGGAGGGCAAAGATAAAATGTTCCTGATAGAAAAGTTGACCAAGCTGCAGGATATGGAGAAGAGAACAAACACCACCTCGTTCACAATGGAAAGGAGAGATGTAGAGGTGAGACAGGAAGTCGCCTTGGGGTCTTTGTGACACAGACTTGCCTCCTCATGAAATGTACGTCAGAAAACTAGAATAACATAAGGGCACTTCACTTTCTATGTTTAAACATTTCTGTATTTTTTTATTTAACGAATAATATTTATTCAACCCTTTCCATGCTGACCCTTGTTCTCGGTGCTGGGGTTATGGTGAAGGCCCTCATGGGGCTTGGATGCATCTTTTGTATAATCCAGTCATCCAGAAGTACATCCCACAGAGAAGGAAAGTACCCTGAAATCTTACCCCACTGTGTTAATGGTTCAGTGTAGACTCTTCCAGATCTTTTCCCTTAGGCATCTGCAAATATACATGCATCTACTAGCACTTTTGTTTATTAATTTATTAGAAAAATGGGGCTATACTGTACACATAGTATCATAACCCCATCCCTCATCGCTTCATGCTATATTTCTGACATTGTTTCAGTCTGTACATATTTGGACATTTGGGTTGTTTCCAGGTTTTTTGTTTCTAATACTAAAAACTGTAATGAAACATTCTTGTTTTAATTATTTTATGTGAGTATTTTTGCCACAGGGCATGCACATGATAATGTTAATAGATGTTACCATATCATACTCTTAAGAAGATTTTACCAATTTCATGCTTACCAAGAGGGTGTAAGAGGTGTCTGAAACCCTGCTCTAAGTCCAAAGCCCATGCTGGCTTCCTTGGTGTCCTGGAAAATATAGATAAACAGTAAACCTACCTTAATTCACATGCCGCTAGTTTTTGGAAATTAGGATCTTGTCAGAAGACAGCGCCATGCCATGCCATTTACTATCTGTGCAAATTAATACCATCAGCATGATGTAGATAAAGGATCTAGAGGCCTGACTCTAAATCCTATGCAGGCAGAGACCCTGTCTGTACCCTTCCAGCCCTGGGCCCTAATACATTACCTGGCATATTGTAGCTGCTCAGTAAATGTCTGTGAAATGAATGAATAAATTAATGGAATCACTTTCCCTAAAAGACCAAACAAAACACTTTCGCTTTGTCTGTGGCTGAGCCTTGGTTTTCATCTGTCACATCTTAATTTTAAAATGGTGGGGGCTCACAGATCCCACCAACTATGCAACAGGACCTGAGTCGAATTCTTTTCCAGTGATGAGGCCACCTGTTTTATTCCCTTTCAGCAACCAGGCCCTTTACCTGTCAGGGAACATGATGCTGCTCGTGGTGAGTAACCAAATTGGCATTGAAGGAGACCCAGTGTAGCCAAGTGATATATCCCAAGATGGAGGGTCACAACTGCTCATGCATCAGTTACTCTTTCAATTAAAAGAACCAACCCAAACTGGCTTTAGCAAAAATCCAAGAATAATTCTTTCTTGAGGCATGGCCAGAAGCTGAGACTCACAATATGTCACCAGAACCTGTTTTTTTTTTTTTGTTCTGTTCTTTTCCATGTTAGCTCCTTTCTCAAATAGGCTCTTCCTCACAATTGCAAGATGCTTTTATCAGCCTCTTGTACCTTCTCAGATTCAAGTCTAGTGGGAAAGAATGAGAGACCCAGAATTCTCAGTGTGTTCCATTGGATCTGACTGGGTGATGTACGCGAACCAATTACTGTGGCCATGAAAATGTGATTATTTCAGTGGCCAGATCGGAGATCTGTAGATAGAGGTGGTGCAACCAAACAGACCACAGGGACTGAGAATGTTCGGGAAGGGTGGCTTCCCAAGGAAAATCAGGAGCTGAAGCCAGAGGGGAATGAATACGGGGGAGGACTCAAACAAACCCATCTATCTTTTTGGGATAGCATTTACTGATGGCACCCAATGACGGGAGTTCAAGGGGAGAATATTGCAGAACCGTAACAGAAGGCGGGAGGTGTGAGAAGCCATGGGATCTTAAATTTGGTCTTTCCCTTGGAGACATGAGGCAGTGTGCATCTGGGCTAACTTCTCTTTTCCGTGTCCAACCTAGACCTGCGATTTAGGCGATCAGTTCAAGAAGAGAATTCAAAGGCGTGATGTTTATTGCAGCAGCCAGACACCAATCAAATGAAAAGACACTCGGGCCTTTCTAAGCTTCCCAGGAGGGGAATTCAAGCCATTAGCCAGGACGGGAAACTGACCCCAGTGTATATACTGAAGCAAATTTGGCCATTCCCTGCTGGTTTTTTATACCTGGATTGCTAATTTTCCAAGATAAAATATTCGGAATTTTAAAATAAAGCCTATTGTAACATTTAAACTGGTTCCTAAAGACCCAGAAGAGATAACCTGGGAATTATGTATTCAGTCTTTAAGAGATGTGCATATGAATTATTGGTCCTTAGAAATCTCTACTCCCGGACCTGGCAAAGGTTTGGAAACCGGTGCTCAGACAAATGGTCCAGCCTGAATAAAAATGGGATCCTCAATCAGGGATGTGAGGCCTCTGAATTGGGGAACCTGCATTTGTTTGTGACTTTGAACTACATCTGTCCCACCCCATGTTACCCAAAGGTGAACTACAACGAGAGGTCTTATCTACAAACTTTATTGCATATCAAGTATGAGTCTTTGGGGTTGACCTGGGGTTGGTGTGGGTGTGGACGGGGACTCTACCCTTGTGAGGTTGATACATGAGTCAGCATCAAAGTCTTATGTTGAATCGAACATGGAATCAGCGGTGATGTGTGAAACATGTATGTATGTATATGTGTGTGTGGAATGGATATATATGTATGTGTGTGTGTGTATACACACACATATGTATATAGAGCATTCTTTTTTGAAAAGTTTTTATTTATTTAAGTAATCTCTACACCCATTGTGGGGCTTGAACTCAGGACCCTGAAGTCAAGAGTGGTACGCTCTTCTGACTGAGCCAGCCAGGTGCTCCAACATAGAGTTTCTTTTGCAGATTTGCCAAATGATTCACAAGGCATGTGACTGTACTTAGAACTGAAGCATCCAGCAGAAAGGTGGAATTGACCAAATTACTCAGGGGAGAAGTCCCCTCTTGTGTAATCACTACCATGAAATGTAATTGGAACTGAATTTTGACAACATTTAACATGTGTTTGAAACACAAGCATCCAATCAATGCTCAGTCATCGATTCACGTTTTCGTTCACTTATTTATTCGTTAGCTCATTTCATCAACTAAATTTCATCAACTGAGTTAATTTTTTTGGTGTTATCCCTGCTAGTGGTTACTAGTAGTGTTCATTCATTCATTCAACAAATACGTGCCAAGTAGTCATGAATAAGATGGTGAGCAAATCAAGACACAGTCTGTGCTCTCCTGTGCTTATTGTCTAGCAGATTAATTTAGACAGGAAATTAATAATTAAATAGTAATTAATTGTAATTGTGATAAATGCTGTGAAAGAGAAGCCCAGGGGACTATGGGGAGACTTAACTTGTCGGTGGGGTCAGTGAAGGCAGCCCACTGAATTGATGCTTGAAGTGGTTTTTTTCCCCCCTGTGTCACCTTAACTCTGTTTTGTGCTTCATTGGCTTCTCCACTAAAATATGAACTTCTGTAAGTAGCATTTTTGCTTATTTACCCTATGCAAAGGGCTTATATCTGGAATGCTTCGCCATTTGCCTCCATGGCTTGGGTCAACTCCTGCTTCTCCTGGAGCTATAAACAAAGGAGAAAGATCTAATCTGTAGGTATCACACACATTTGGATGTGAAGATGCTTTTAAAACTTGGGCTTGAGGGGCGCCTGGGTGGCTCAGTCGGGTAAATGTCTGCCTTCGGCTCAGGTCATGATCCTGGGGTCCTGGGATCAAGTCCTGCATTGGGCTCCCTGCTCAGTGGGGAGTCTGCTTCTCCCTCTCCCTCTGCCTGCCCCCCCTCCCTGCCCCCGGCTCGTGCTCTGTCTCTCAAATAAATAAAATCTTTTTAAAAAATTAACAAAACAACAACAAAAAACCCTTGAGCTTGAGATAGGGAATGTGTTGGCTTGCTAGGGCTGCTATAACCAAATACCACAGATGGGCTGGTTTAAACAACATAAATTTATTTTTCCACATTCCTGGAGGTGGGGAAGTCCAAGGTCATGGTCCTTTTCAGTGTCCACAGTTTTGGTTTCCTTCTGCTACCTCCTGGGCTTGCAGATGGCCACCTTCTTGCTGTGTCCTCTGCATGTACCTTTTTTTTTTTTGCATGTACTTTTTTTTTTTTTTT